TAGTGGCTGGCCCAGCCTTAAACCACGACATATATTCACAAAGTTCCCATGCCCAAAAGGCACTTTAGGTCACTTGGCATAACTTCATGCATACAGTATCTATAAACTGTTCCTTCAGCATTTCAAAAACAAATTTTAAAATTGCAATCTTTTTTTTTTTACACGTCTACCCAAAGTATTTACATAGTAATGCATGAAGTTCTACTTTTCATACCCATATTTAGAGACCAAGACTTAGGTGCCTGACAACACTTTCAGAAATGTTGAGGAACCACAAGTCCTGTTGAACAGAACTGTTTGGCATGAGGAAAATTAAGACATTTCATATATAAGGATATGTCACTCCAGGTACATAATTTTAGACATCCAAGCCCAATGACCCACAGAAACTTTACACGTCAACAAAAACGTACCAGTAAGAGGGGGTTTATGTGAATGCAGACTGCAGGGTATGCTGACAATTAACTTATGTTCTGCAACTGGAAGTACATCTTCAGATTTCCTGTCATATAAATCAGAACAAGAAGAGAAGCGTGAAAATGATACTACCAAATGTGATCCTTCAGCTCTCACAGAGCTACTTCCGATGAAAGGGAACACACAGGATGATCATTAGGACCCAAACTTCAGATAAGTTTAAGGGAAGTTAAATGTTGCTCAGTCATAATATATAAAAGGACAGTTTATGAAATCACTGAGACTTCAGATGAAAAATGGTTAACAATATCCATATAAAGCCATTGAGAACAAACAGTCCTGCTGATTTTCAGGTCTAGAAAAACATCAGCATCCCCAAAACGGTGTCAGCCTGTGCCAAGGACTCATGGTCCAAGAGAATCTGTCAGCAAAGGAAGCCCTGTGCACGAGGCTTTTCTCTAAGCCAGTTTCCCAACACAGACAGATATAAGCAACAAAGTTTTCCATCCTTCAATCTCACTAAAGCACTCCCTCATTCCAAAGCTAGTAAGGCTATTTTTAGGTCCAAAAATCTGTCAAAAATGATATCAAGAGAAGAATCTGGAATATTATATTGTATAACAAACAAGTGATAAACAAAGTGAATCCTACCACCCTCAAAAAAGAAACGTTTATCATAAATAGTCTAGCATACCTTACAGCTTCCTTTTCAACTCCTTGAACTCTCCCCAATATAAGAACTTCATAAGGCTTTTTGTGTAAAGAATCCAAAGGCAATACAAATTCTCCAGCTGTAGTGATCTGACATAAAGGAGTTAAAAATTAATTATAAAAATCTTCCACTGTGTACTTTTGTGACACTTTCTTTCACAAAAGAAAGGTGATGATGATACCATACCTTTAAAATGCAAAAGCACCTGGTAAATGAATAGACAAATGATAAGAATATCAAGTGTCATCGTGCAAGCCCTCTCAGTCCCCAAGAAAGCAACAAAACAAACTGAGAACTTACTTTTACCCAGTGCCACTCAGCGAGTGTTTTCACAGACCAGTGAGGATAAAGGTCATCCTTAACAAAACGTAAGTGCTTCTGTCTATTAGTCACCCAGGTGACTACAAGACAATTTGCAGCAGCCAATGCTGGTACAGGAATCTGCTTGATTTGCCATGAAGACAAGTAGCTGTACCTATATGTCAATACAGTGAGAAAGCAAGTTAGCATATACCAAATATAAAAACTGCAAACGCAACACGAATGGGTAAATTACACAGTCATTTCAAGAATTATCACCTGACAACACAAGTTGTAAAAATGGATCAAGACTGACACCCAGTGGCCAAATCTGATGGGATTCTGATATCAAATCATCATTACATGTACTTAAGTTCAACTGAGCAGAACATGTAACTACATATTTCTACTACTCCCCCAAATAAAATATTGAGTCGTGATTCTGAAGAAACTTAAAAGCCCCCGCTTAATTTAAGAACTATCATATGTAATTCAATACTCTCATCTTTACACCAGAACAAAGCTATTTATTGCTCTTTAGTCAATGTAACATTATTTGCTTTTCATAATATGCAATCTCTTTCCTGAATGCAACTGACCAGTGAGTCATTTACAAGTGCAAGGGCAACACTAATTTGACTGGCAAGTTAAAAGGTCATAAAAGAGTAACCATTTCTCCAATTATTTGCAGAAGTTATTAATTATTTTTAAATTACACTCATGGCAAAAGTTCTCCAAGGTTATTCAGAACAGCTCTGCACATTTTTTAGCTAATCATACGCTACATCAGTGAATCCAGTATGCTTTCCAGACTCTGTTCTGTTCTATCATTTTTCTCATGATGCTACACTATGCAACTTGTGGAACCTACACATTGCAGCATCAAAAACACTGGCACACTGCCAACTGGAACTGACAGCCACCATCTGGGTACCTGGAATCCCTATACAGTGCAACAGTGAGAACAGTGAGGAGCAGGTAACAAAGACAAAATAAAAAATGCCTCCTGAATGAGATTGCGTAGAGAAAATAAGATTTACAACCCAGATGTGAAAAGCTTAACAAAGATTAGCCGTCAGCACAGTAACTAACAGCAGTGATAGCTCTTTCAACTTGTGCAATTATTTTGTAAGGGAGAAAGGGTCTTCCTGGCTAAATCATGCTTGTGACTTCAGTTTTACTTTGAATAACTTATACAGTTAAGAAATACACTTGAATTAGTTTAACTCTGGTTTCCTAGAGGTTTCTGCAAGATTTTCTAAGTAAAACCCACTAAACAGTCCCTGTATCTTCAAATAAGGTCTTCATAACAAGCTTCAAAAGCTAAAGTAGACATTATTCTAGAAAGCTGTAAAGCCGCATTTCCTGCCTGCCCTTCTTTCACAGGGATACAATTCTACGATAATCAAGAGAGCTCCACTGGCATAAGCCTGATATTCCTCAGTGGAGAGGGAAGCCCATAAAATTTTAAGTTAATGACTTCATAAACTTCAGTACTCACAAAGTTCCTATTGCACTTCAGAATTTTACTGCTGCATTATCACTTTCTCTCTCTACCTATCAGACTGAGGCTCAAACTACAGCTCAAATTAAAAAACAAACAAGCCTAAAACCTCTGAATACAGCCTCAGTCCCGGAAATACTTACATATTTATCTAGCTTTGTGTCCACTGAAGTAACCCTATTAATTTCAAATTATTATCTGCATTATTATTATCTACAAAAAAGTTGACTCCAGACTTTCCTTATAAGTCTCAAGGACTAACATTCTCTCATCAGTTAGGTAATTTAAGATCTACTCTTGCAAACACTTTGTATGCAGAATATCCAAGCCACTTCAGTGAAATCTCCAAGACATTTCATAGACTTGGAGGTAGGCATGTGCCAAAATTTTTGCTAGTTTAAGCTACAGTCTCAGTTATATTGGTCTTGGATGGCATCAGTAAATTAAAATGTTAATTACCCTTTGTAAGCAAATATTGCAAAGTTTGTTCGATTTTACAATAAATTTTACCTGTTACTCCTTTTAACGGACTTGTTCTCCCATGGTGGATCAATCACAATTACATCATATTTCTTTTTGTCTGGGAAGTGAAGTTACCGAAGAAAAAAACAGGGGAGTAAATTAGCTTTAAAATAAATCTACTAGTTAAAACTGATAAAGGCTTAGCTACTCACATACAGACAACATTTAAAGAGCCAACTATGCAGCAAAACCACAACTTTCTTCTGTTGTTTCCAAATTAAGAAATTAAAAGGCTTTTAACATGCTTGTTTTAATTCATATAATCATATACTTAAGATATGTTTAGGCTGATTATCTAAGAAAAGGACATTTACGTGATCTGTGGCAGATTCCTCCAAGAAATTTAACATCTTGAGGACTTTCAGAAAAAAACTGATAGCAGAGTACAAATCTCAAAGACTAAAATTTCTCTAAGCTTCCTAACAGAAGCAGCAATATGGACATATCTGTGTTAAAGCCTCATCCTGTGGAATAGGGACCCAGCAGCATAGCCATTCCCAATTTAATATATTTACATGACTTCTGTACTGACAGTGGCTTAGAACATGCTCACAAAATGCCTTATTTTCTGCTTCATGTAAAATGCTGTGGCTGATATTTTTAAAGGAGCCTCCCAGGCATAGATAAACCCCCATGACATAAGCCCCTAATCATTCAAGATTCCTTTGAAAATCCTCACCTATTTGTACAGTTAGAAATATCACTTTGAAAGCTTGGAGCAGCACTTATTATCAGAGTGGTGCTGTATATTAAAATCTGTTCATTGAGTCCTTCATCATCTTGACATCAACCGCCCTTCTCAGGCAGGAGAGAAGTGGTAAATTCTAATGCTTAAAGATACTTAAAGTCAGGGGCTGTAAACATGAAATATCAGATAAAAGGAAACTGCTTTTTGGTGGCACCAAGTACTTCTGCCCCATTAACACAATCATCTTTGCACAATTTGAGTTGTTTTCTGTAACACAGGAAAGCAGGTCCTGCTCTGGAACGGCGGTTTCATCATCTAGCAGATGTACAGTTCGATGGTTGCCTGCATTTACATCTGGAAACTGCTTGGCCATTTCACATAATTCAGCCAACCCACAGCCAATGTGTCCAGGAACAATGTTCTTCCTGCAACTGAGTTGAGAAGTAGTGCGGTGAAGAAAACCACTTTTGAGTCCTTCTTGGACTAAGGGCAAAGTGCCTTCCCAAATGAGCTTCCTGACCTGCAGAGTCATAAAGAAACAGGGGAAAAAGAAAGGAACTTTCAAGTACCTACATGATGGAAATCATAACATTTTCAATCTGCATAGTGGGAAAAGAATCCTTGCCAAATACTGAGATTATTGACACAAACACTACAAGGACATGCTAATCAGGCCATGATAACTTTTGTCGAGTGGTTTTGGTAAAGTGGCAATAATCAGAAGCCTGGAGAAAGAAAGAGTAGGAGACCATATTTCACAGACAATAGAAATAAATATTACTGTTCCAAACAAATAAATTTCAAAGCAATAATCTGATGTACGAGTTCAAATTCTAATCTAATTTCAAGTTCCTGTGCCCATAAACATATTTTTAATTGGGATGTATACTGGGATCTAAAAATCAGTACTTATCCATATTCTAATTCACTTCAAAAAACAATAATGTATGCATTTTTAAAGTAATACGGAAGTAAAATAAGTAAATCAAATTAAATCATTAGAATTCGGTTTTGCAACTTTTCTAAGCAACACAGATATTTTGTACCATTCCCTATGCTGACTCTGACCGAAATTCACAAATTGATTTAATGCCTACTTTCACTGGCAGACACAAATTTGGGGTTTGGAAAACAATTCTAAAGATATGAATAAGTGCCAAAATAACCTGAACTGACTAGCCAACCTCTAACACTGCAAATACTGTTAAAAAAAAAGCATTCTAATCTGTGAATGGTATTAGAGACTAACTGGAATCACAGATTTTTCAAAACTGTGTCTTTTTTTGCATATTCACCAAAAATCATTTGAAGTTACACAGGCCTCCAAGACAAACTTCTTCGCTTCATTTCTTCTCTTATTCTTATGATTGAATGACTTTATTTCAGCTTAAAGGTTTTCATACGCATAACGTTACGTTTGATCTTGAACTTGAAAAAATCTTTTCTTTAAGGCAATTCTGCACACGCACAGCTTATTCACAACAATAATTACAGGACCTCTACACTCCATCATAGCAAACTGTAGATGTTTACTACAAAACTGTTGCCATGCAAAAGAAGGAGAGGTAGTCATTTAAATATAGTCCAAGAGGAACAGAATTAAACAAAAAACCAAATATAACTAACATCTTTGTCAGTGGAAAGAAAGCAAGCATAGGTCCTAGTTCAGGTTCACATTGCTGTTTATGAAAGCAGTAAGAATACATCAAACATTATCCACAGGTTACATTTCTAGGATTTACTAACATGCTTCAGCGTAATTCAGATGTAACTTCACCAGTATAACACTGACATGAGCCTGGAGACTTGAATTCCTATTCATTTATGATGCTTTTATATCACAATGTAAAATGTGAAGAGGGAATAATCCTTTGTCATTGGCAGAAAAGAGACATCTTGGAGCACTGCTGCTCAGAGAAGCTTTGAGTACCAGTACAGCATCCTGATTACTAAAGATAAGTTGATTTTCAGAACAGGCTATACTGTTTGTTTCAAATCAGTCACTTCTTGTTCTGCTATTATTCAGCTCATCATTATATTATGCTCAGTTATCCATAACAGTAAAAGATATTTTGTGAATGCAGTTTCCAGCTCTTAGAAGTGTCTCAGCTACAGTTTGATGTCTAGTTTGGTTTGGATATTTCTACTCAGAAGTTATTCTCTGTGTATCTCTTACTCATTTAAGGATGGAGAGATGACCTTCCCATTAGCAGAACAAGCTACATGAACAGAACTTGTTTGCAACCATGTCGTACACTCCGTACACAGTCCAAAGACAAGTATAACATACTTGCAAAATATACTTTTGTTCAGATTTACCTTTGAATGGTATTCTAAAGCATCCAGTTCACCTTGGTTGAATACACATTTCCTTTTTCGTTTCTGCAGAATAAGCAAACAGTGGGAAAAAAAAAAAATCCATATTACTCCGTGATGAAAGGAATAAAATAAATAATCAAACATACCTTAATTACAAATTAACTCTTTCAAAAGCAGAAGAAACTTTACATCTCTTTTCTCTTTCTCTATCACAACTGTAAGTCCAATAAACAAAAATATAACCTCAAAACACCTAGGCTGCTGTAGGCATTCTCAAGGTACATAGGCCTAAAGCTGTATTATCGGAGCTACTCATGGGACTGGGATCTGAAGGTACCTAGTGCATGCCACAGTTCATGCTCATGCTTTCTTTGGGCCCATACTACAGGTATCTGTTCAGCTGCCAAGTCTGCTTTACCAATAATAGGAGAAAATTAAGTAGGTCTTCACAAGTACATATGTTGGTTTAGACCTCTGGAGCTTTCTTTTTTTTTTTTTGATCCATAAGGAACAGAACTGAACAATTTATCTATTAAAAGTAAATTCAATGCTGTCTTTCCTTCCTTACTAATCTGCACAATCTTGACAGCTACCAGTTTCAGCTCAAGTGTCTGACCACAACCAACATAAAAAGGTTTCATGAGCAGCCCACTGCCCACATTTCTGACATAAGTGACACAAGAATATCCTCAAAAGGGGTCACATTTTCCATGCATCTTGAAATCTACTGTGGAAAAGTTCCTGCTCTCCTACATAACTTCAGGAAACTGAAAAGTGCAAGACAACGTTAGTGGTATATTATTTACCAGGAGATTACTGTAGTTTACTGTATTACAGAGAACATACCTTCCTAGCACTGGCAACAGAATCTTCAGTGCCACTCTTGGTTCCTTCTTGGTGTTCCTCTCTGTCACTGTTGGCCTTTCCTTCGGGCACCCCCGACTCGGGGCTTCCCTGCCACAGCTGCTCCTCAGAAGCTGTGGCTATATAGGGCTTAGAAACGTCAAAGAACTCCTTCCGAAACACATATCTCTTTTTTGCTATTTTACTTTCTGTTTCGATCACGTCTCCAGGACCAGGAATAGGACTGTCTCTCGATGAGAAGGTAGCAGCAAAGGCAGAAGCAGCATGACTATCCCCAGCAGAAGTGACAGAAGTATTGAGAGTGACACCGCCAGGGGGTGCAGAGGTGTCACAGATCTCATAGCCGCACCGGTTGATGAAAGAGAGATGATCCAGGAGCCATCCTGCTGCATGCCGACGTACCACGGACATCACGGCTCCCCCTTGCAGGCAGAAAAACCAACTCCTTGAAACCTCAGCCGGTTATCAGACGCGCTTCCTGGAGCAAACTCCTCCTGTGAGAATTTTTTTAAGAGTTCACTTTTCAGAATTATCACTGCTTAATAAAGTAGCACATATCTTCCGACACATATTTCCACATAACCTATTGGTTTTCCCGTCCCAACTTGTTTCATTTCTAATTAACTTTTTTATAGTAAGCAAGCTTTAAATAAATTTCTGTAGTTTTATACAGTACAGATTTATATATGGTACATTTGTACAGATTTCTATACAGCACAGATTTGACTCTTTTAACAGGTTAGAAAATAGCATTATGACAAAGCAAGTACATAAACCAGGACTTTGCACGGCAGCACCTGGGAGCAGTAACACAAGCGCAGGGCCGTGCCCACGCAGAGCCTAAGAACTCGGGTGTTTCTTCAGAGACCTTCCCTCCACCATATCCCACCGCCGACAGCGCAGCCCCCTTCTCACCCCGCAGAGCTAGAGAGAAGGAGCTGCTGAAGGCTCAGCACGACGGTTTGAAGCCCGCTGGACAGGGAGGGACTACCGTTGGTCCCTGTTCCTCACTGCCAGTGAAGAAAAACCCTGGGGCTCCTCATAGCGCCTCACACACACACCCCGCCCCTACTCGGCCCGGACATAGGAGCCGCCATCTTGTTGTACGGACACAGCCTTTTCTCTAAGAGCTTCCGGGGAAAGCGGGCGGTTAGTGAGTACACTACCCAAGCAAGCGGAAGTGACAACACCAACCCGCGACTCTTCGCTCTTTATCCTGCTTCTTCAGCGCTCTGCTGTGGCGTGGCGCAGTGCGTGACGTAGTCCGTGGGCGGATTTTAAATTGGGAGGAAGGCGGCGGCTCCATTAGCGACGGGGGTGTTG